AAAAAACAAACACAAAAAAACAACACACAAAAACCCCCCAAAAAACCCCGATTTCTTTCCATACCGGGCATGTTTATCTACACTGTTTCCTCATAAAGTCAATATTTTATTTTTCTTTATCGGCTGTTTTTTTAAAACGCGATTTTGCTCCATACTTTTAAAAAAAATAACTCCATTTTTTAAATCCAATCTTCATGTATTTTTTTTATATAGATCTAGATCTAGATCTAGATCTATATAATATGAAATAGATTTTTGTTAGTGGTGTCTGGAGTGTGATTTTTCACGGATTTTTTGCAAATTTGAATACTACCACAGGAAAAAATTCATTCAAAATTTTATAATTTGTTTAGGAAAAAACAACATACACATTTTAAAATCTAATGTTTGTTAACATATGTGCAAAAAACAAAAAAAAAGCAATTAATTTCCTTGTGCAATAAGAGCGGTATTCATTACGTAAGACATGTCAACAAAATCCAATATGGCCGCCGTATCCATGGAAACTAAACTTTTGTTCTCGAATTTGATTACGGATTTTAAGACTCCTTACTGTGCTTGTTATATGTATGAAATATGGAAAAATATGGTCAGCTAATAAGCGAGATAGCCTTCAGGTGTAGCCCCCCCCTCTTTAAAAATCTGTAACATCTTCATGGATGAAGAAATCTAGATCTAGAATCTAGATCTAGATCTAGACATCTAGATCTAGAATCTAGAAGATTAATAACATGTAGATCTAGATTCTAGATCTAATTGTGCTGCAAAACTTTTATTTGTACATATCTACAAATAGATCTAGATTTAAGGATCTAGATTTAGATCTACGTTTGTTTTAGACCATTTTAGACTAATTCCACATCGCAAAAAAAACAAAACACACACACACACACACACACACAAACACCACACAAAAAAAACAATGCTTGGCAAGGCTAGGCTAGCCCAGAGACCGTAAAAGTCACTGGGCTAGCCGAGAACTAGGAATAGAATAATACAGTGGAACTCTGATTCAACGAGCTCGGATTCAACGACAACTCGGATTCAACGAGATGAGATAGATTCCCCGTTTTTTTTTTCTTCTTTAAAATCAATAAAAATAACCTGGATTCAACGAGCACTTAAATCAGCGAGCTCAGGTTCAACGAGGTCGCTTCCAGGGTGAACAGTCACCGCAGACGTGGCTTCGCTCATTTTTCTTACAGAACGAACTTTATCTAGATCTAGATATAGATTTAGATCTATTCCCGGAAACCATCCATTGTTCCTGCATCGTAAGTAAACCATTATTCACTTAGCTGATAGCATGCGACCAATCAGCGGCCGTTTTTCGTACCAACACATGCGTTGTTGGCACGTGCATAATATATGTGTCTACTCTAACGTGCGTCGGTGTCGGATGGGCGGGCGGCCCGCACACGTGTGGCTGTCGTGCGTGTCGTGGATGGGGGGAGGGACACTTAACTAGCGGTCTGGGCGTTGAACGTCTCAGATACAAACGCGTCACAGTCTC